GAGAGAGAGAGAGAGAGAGAGAGAGAGAGAGAGAGAGAGAGAGAGAGAGAGAGAGAGAGAGAGAGAGAGAGAGAGAGGTGAAAGTGAACTGGGGTGTATAATTCATGCCTGACAGCTGGAAGTGAGCCAAAGAATTCTCTAATGCGTTGCCCAATCAGAGGGAGATCCAGGATCTCTTCTGTTTCTAGGACATGATGAAGTGAATCATCAAGACCAATAGCTGCAAAGGGGATAATGGTAGCACCATGGCGAACTGCTGTCCGCACAAACTCTTGTTGCTCTGGCCAAAAGAGGTTGTATAGTTCACCCTGCACACGAGTTATGATGTCAGACCAGTGTGTGTCAGATGCAGAACACAGGCAAAAAGACTGCTACTGTCTCACCCGAAAATAACGCCCTGGATCATACCCTAAAAAGCCAGATTTTCTTTTTAGTCACTTTTTGAAAAAAGGTAACCCCCATTCCGTCTTTACATTCGAACATGGCATTGGTAGAATGCCTTGCGCACTACGGCTGTGATCTGCATGTGTTTCTGAACTTTCTATACTCTACATCACTCTGTTATGAACTTGGTTGTTTGACAATTTGGTTGCCACTCACACCCAGAAGAACTCACACACGCCCATACACGCATGAGACAAAAGGGAGAAGGAGACAGAGTCCAACTGCACACAGACCACAGATAAGCAGCGGAATAACAGTTATGCACAGAAGGGGAGAATGCACTCAGTGTTTCACTCAGTGTTTCTCTCTCTCTGACACACTCCTAACAACCAATCACAATTGACACTGCAAAGATCACAATTGGAAAGTAACCCAGATGATGAGCCAACTCAACACAATTAACCTCAATTATCGTTTCAGAGTTCAACCCAGTGTCTGGCCACCCCAGTACCACACACTCCACTCACTACTCCACGCTCAGAGTCTAGCGCTGCACTGAAACAGCCTCCCAGAGGCCAGCGCCATACACCCTGATGAAGATCATGAACAGCGAGGTAGTCCCCAGTGCCGATGAGTCACTCTGACGATGAAGAAGGCCGCTATGGCTGCCTGGCTGCTACCGCAGCAGCAGTACCCACATGTACTCAGTGAAGACCCTCCGATAGTCCTGCCAAACGCAGATATCCCCCTGTCTCTTATACACATCTAGATGTGTATAAGAGACAGGATCTGTCCCTCACGAATTTTCCACACAGGCGGATCTCTCGGTTAGCCTTCAGCCAAACAAAATTACAAATCTGTCCCTACCTATGGTACCTGTCTCTTATACACATCTAGATGTGTATAAGAGACAGGCTATAGGAAGTTAGGGTAGCTGTAGGAACTCGGTTAGTACCAGGTCTGTATTTTTCCAAAAATTACAGATCTGTCCCTCACGAATTTCCACACAGGCGGATCTCTCGGTTAGCCTTCAGCCAAACAAAATTGCAAAACTAACCCTACAGGTTAGTGTACAGCCTCGCAGACAATCTCGGCAGCAGAAATCAGCAAGTCATTGCGGGCTTACCCCTGTCTCTTATACACATCTAGATGTGTATAAGAGACAGGCCATAGGAAGTTAGGGTAGCTGTAGGAACTCGGTTAGTACCAGGTCTGTATTTTTCCAAAAATTACAGATCTGTCCCTCACGAATTTCCACACAGGCGGATCTCTCGGTTAGCCTTCAGCCAAACAAAATTGCAAAACTAACCCTACAGGTTAGTGTACAGCCTCGCAGACAATCTCGGCAGCAGAAATCAGCAAGTCATTGCGGGCTTACCCTCCCCGGGAGCGAGGACCTCCGAGCTAGGGGTGCAGACGAGGCGAACGGCGAAGGTCACCCTTCTGAGCCGCCTCATATCGCAGTACAACAGACTTTGCTGTCTTGATCAGGTCTCTTCTGTAGAACCACCGGTTCTCAGAAGGGGGCTGAAACGCAAACCTGACAAGATACTGTCGGTCGGGGCCAGTGCCCCACTCATCCTCAATGGCCACCACATCGTATCCCTTGCCAGGGATTGGTGGGCCCCATTGAGGGGGCCGGTCAGGGAATGCATCAGCTGGCGTAAAAGGCAACAACTTAGATGCGTGAAAGACCGGATAGGTTCGTAGATGCAGCGGAACGTCGATGACGTACGATGGACCAAAGGGATCAGCGCCCACTGTATCTAGAACCTGCCATGGACCTAGGTAGCGCGGCAGCAGCTTGGGAGAAATATCCTCCTCCCTCGACAACTCAGAACTGGCCACCCAGACATAATCACCAGTGCGGATGGGGGAAGGCCGCCTGTGGCGGTTAGCTTGTTCAATCATGACCTTTTGGGCCTTGAACAAGTTCGCCCGGGCTCTTTCCACATTCAGACGATAGCGTCTGGCGAACTCTGCAGTGCCTGGGGTAAGGTTAGGCTTAGCCTTATCGATGATATCATCGAGAGGCTGTCGTGGCGCACGTCCCCAATGTAGCCGGTAGGGATTGAACCCTGTCGAGTAGTGCACAGACATGTTATACATGAGTTGTGCCCTCGCCAAGTGGAGATCCCAATCCTGCTGATCTGGGGAGATCACATGGCGCAGCAACTGGAACAGGACTTGGTTCATCACTTCAGCCAATCCATTGGCTTTAGGATGACGACCAGAAGTCATGTCCAGGCGTGAGTGCAGATAGTCCTTGGAGTAGGACTGCCACTCATCGCTGCAGAATTTGGGGTCTCGGTCACTAACAATAGAGGTGGGTGGTCCATGGTGTGTGACCCACCTCTCAGAAAAGGCTGCTCTCACAGCCGGTACTCTGGCTACCTCTGGCAAGGGGATGAACTCTGCGTATTTGGAAAACCTGTCCACGCAGACCATAACCTGACACATGCCACGAGGGGTGGTCTTGCCTAAGTCTGTAAAATCAATGGATACAGACTGCGCAGGACCATCAGGTATGGGCAAGGGTTTGAGCAATCCCAAAGGAGGTTTACGCTGAACCTTGTTCCTTTGGCAGAGCTCACAGGTGTCCACATAGTGCAGCATATCACTCCGCATCTCCTTCCAGAAGAAGCGCTGCGACAGGGCTGCATACGACTTTAAGAACCCAAAGTGTCCACGAGCATCGTGACACTTTGACATCAGCAGTGTTCGCAGCTGCTGATCCTCAGGGATGCACAAGCGCTCCTCTCCTCTGCTATAGGTGTACAGCAGATCTGAACTCATAGCATAGCCAGGTTCAGAATTGGGATCTTCTTGCAGATTCCTGATGATGGGTCCATAAGTCGGATCCTGAGGCAGTAAACGAGCAACGGTCTGACGGACCCCCTCTCCAAAGGAATGAGTAGAGGAGATCAGCGCAAAAGAGTCAGGCCTACGAGAGAGGGCGTCAACTACTTTGTTGTAGCAGCCCTTCTTGTGCTTCAGTTCAAAGTCGAACAGATCAATGAACTGAATGTAACGTGCCAACTTATCGTTTAACTCTCACTGGGACTTCAACCACTGCAAAGTGGCATGATCCGAAAAGATCTTGAAGTGCCTGCCCAGGAGAAAGTGTTTCCAGTGTTTCAGGGCAATGACAAGAGCATAAAGCTCTTTCTCGTAGGTAGAGTCCTGAAGCTTCTGAGTCTTGATCTTCTTACTCATGAACTCTACAGGTCTCAGACCATTCCCATCATCCTACTGAAGGACTGCCCCAATGCCATACTGGCTAGCATCAGTAGTCAGCACAAAAGGCAAGGTGGGGTCAGGCAACTTCAGAACACGTGCATGAGTCAAGGCCTGTTTGAGTCGTGCAAAGGCCATCTGGCAGTGAAGAGACCAAAGAAAGGGAGTGTCTTTCTTTGTAAGGTTAGTCAGGGGTGTAGCCACTGCAGAGAAGTTTCTGACGAACTTTCTGTAGTATGAGGCCAGAGCCAAGAAAGACCGAACATCTCTCACTGTCTGGGGCTATGGCCAGTCCTGAATAGCAGCAACTTTGGCTGCTTCAGGGGCCAGTCCATCTCCAGAGATTACATGACCCAGATAGATCACAGAGGGAACTCCAAAAGAGGACTTCTCTYTGTTGATCTTGTACTGGCTGTCACGTAACGACTGAAGAACCAGAGCCAGGTGCTCCGCATGTTCCCTGGTAGTTTTGCTGAATACCAGGATATCATCCAGGTAGACAACCATAAACTTATCCAGGTACGGCCTGCATATGCGGTGCATCTAAGTCTGGAATGTGCCAGATGCATTGCAAAGTCCAAATGGCATCACCAGGTACTCATAAGTGCCATATCTGGTTTTGAAGGCCGTCTTGTGGACGTCCTCCTCTGCCATCTCAATCTGGTGATAGCCAGATTTAAGGTCGACTTTGCCAAAGATAGTGCAGCCCTGGACCATATCCAGCAGGTCATCGATCCTAGGAAGTGGCTCTGTGCTCTTCCTAGTGATCTTCTTGAGACCCCTGTAGTCTATGCACATTCTGAACTCACCACTCCCCTTTGGAACAAAGAGGACTGGAGCACCGAATTCAGAAGTGTTGGGCCTGATCCAGCCTTTGCTGGTCAGGGTCTCAAGCTGTCGCCTGAGCTCCTCAAGCTCAGCAGGTGACATCCTGTAGATGCGGCCCTTGGGAGGGACCGCNATCCAGCCTTTGCTGGTCAGGGTCTCAAGCTGTCGCCTGAGCTCCTCAAGCTCAGCAGGTGACATCCTGTAGATGCGGCCCTTGGGAGGGACCGCTCCAGGCARCAGCTCAATGTGATGCTTGGTTGGCCGGTTGGGTAACCCAAAGGGCTCCTGCATCAGATCTTCGTACTGGTCCACAACCTGCTGTATCTCAGGAGGACAGGGAGTAGAAGGAGCGTTTGTCTGCTTGACCAGAGCTATGAACAGACACTCGTGGTCGTACTGGCGTGAGAGAGCATAAAACTCTCTCGCTCTCAAGCAGAAGCAGGATGTCTTAGGGTGGTGATCAGCAGCAATCGTACAAGGCTGATACACTCCCTTGCTGTTTGGCAGTTCAACCTTGGGGATCTACCAGGCGATCCTTGGGTTGACTGCTTTCAGACACTACATGGAGAAAACCAGGTCAAAGGGTAGATCAGGGAATATGTAGAAGTTCAGACTATGTCTGACTTCTCCAGCGCTGTCGAAGGTAACAGGGATACCCCTGACCTTCTCCCTGATGGTCAGAACAGTGGAGTCACCTATCCTGACCTGCAGCGGTTGCTGCAGTTGCACCACTTTCATGCCCAGATGCAGTTTTTTTACTGCACTGGGAGACATGAACTTGCGGGTGGCTCCACAGTCCAATAACCCCTTGATCCTGGTATGGTTGATCAGGGGCCGGAGGAGTATGAGATCAGACTTGTTCTACTTTTGTTCTTTCAGATGAAAGAAAAAAGCAGCAAGAGCCTGACACTCAGACTGGTCCGGTTCCTGATCCGGGTCAGGATCCTCATAGATGAAGGATGCTGCCCGCGCAGTCCCTGCACTGGGTAGGAAGGAACAAGTCTCAACTGAAGCTGCTGCAGCTGCAGATGCAGGTGCAGCACTGGAGGGAACTGCAGTCTCCAGGTTCAGCTTCAGTTTTTTGATTGAGTTGGGCTAGGCATGCAGGGACAGTCCTTCAAGAAGTGTTGTCCCTCACACCTCAAGCAGACACCTCTCTCCTTCCTCTTCCTCCACTCTCCTTCCTGGATTTTCAGATCATGCCATGGGAGAGTGTTGGGGTTCAAAGGGTCTGCTGGGAAGTGGACGTCACGTGGCAGGTTAGGGCGTCGGGCAGGGGTTGAAGAGCGACGTCCCTGGCTCTTCCCCTTGCTGCTGGAGGCTGTCCTGGAGGTTGACCTGGCCTTTTGGAAACCCCCCAGTGCAGCCTGCAGCCGCTGAACAATTGCTGCAACATCTGGGACAGCAGCTGAAACAGTCCCAGCAGGCGGTGTACCAGGCTGGGATCCTGTCTCAGAAGCTGACCCAGAACCCGCATATGCAAAGGTCGCCTTTCCCTTTCTACCACCGGGAGGGAAGGCGCCTTTCCTCCTATCACTGGAGGGGGCCTGAACATGAAGCTTGGCTTCCATGTCCAGTGCTGCACGTCCAAACGATCGCAAGTCTTTGTGTCCGGCGCTGTACAAAGCAACACAAAACTTTTCAGGCACAGCCCTGCAAAAGTTAGTCAATAAATCATCAGCAGACATAACCAATCCAGGGGTGGAAGTCAGCTGCTCAAACTCAGCAAATAAGGCCTGCAGACTGCCGCTATAACGTTGCTGGCCCAGGCGTACTATTTTATCAGCAGCTTTGCAGACTCTCTCTTTGTCTGCAAACCGGTCTTCCAGGGCCTGCAAAAGCTTGTCAGCCGCCAGTGCCAGGGCCCAGTCCTCCAAAGTCTGATTCTGGGCGCTTGCTGTAGAGGTAGCCCATTTCTGGGCAGGCCCCTCCAACAGCCCCACAACAGTGGCCACCTTTTGCTGCTCTGGGCACTGGAACCCTTTCAGATAGGCCCGGGTTCCAGCTGCCCAGTCCCCCACATCAATCTTGGGGTCATCCCCCTTGAATTTGTTGGGGGCAGGAATCTTGGGGCCTCGCTGGTCCCCAGCAATAATCGCAGCAAAGGTGGGAGGAGGTGTGGCCTTGGCCTGGGAGGAGACAGAGGGAGAAGGCTTGTGCGAAGAATGAGGGGACCCAGGAGGTGGAGAAGGAGGTGGAGAAGGAGGTGGAGAAGGGGGCTGAGAAAGCTTCTTGGGCTTTAGAGAGGGGACCACAGGGACCAGGGGACTGATGACGTTGGCTGCTGTTAACTGAGCAGTCAGATTCTGGATAGCATCCAGGATCTTAGACTGCTGAGTTCCCAGATCTGCCACTCTGGTCTCCAGCCGCTGGATCCTCTCATCCCAGTTTGTGAAGTGGATGGCTGTAAGTTTGTCTTGCAACAATATCAGCTCAGCCAGGTCCCTTGTACACTGGGCCACTCTGGCATCCGCAAAAGTCTTTTGAGCCTGCTGCAGCAGATGCTCTTTTCTGGAAGCATTTGTTGCAGCTTCCAGTTCTGCAGCCTCTTGCCTCTCTGCCTTTGCGAGCAGCGCCTGTTGCTCTCGCAGTTTCTCTTGGATCTCTTTCTTGCGTCGCTGCGCAGGGGTCAGGGGAGGAGGAGGAGTTGTTGAGGGTGAGGCTTGACCCTCATCCTTAACCACTATCTCCACCTGAGTCAGCTGATTCAGACATTTTCCCTCACAGACTACAAAATGAACAAAGTAAAACAGCAGAAGGTGCAGCGATTTACAGCTCCCTCAGGCACTCACAATTCGCTGCACTGTCAGTTCACAGAGCAATGTGGGTTAGTGGGCACAAGCGGTTAGGGTTGGAATAGGGCCACTGGGGTCAGTAGTCGGGCTGACTGGATGTCTAGTAAAATCATGCACTAACGATTTCCTATACCTGACACTGAACTTTCACTGAAGTTGCAACATGCACTTACACACGTTCCAGGGGTCACTAATATTCCAGAGCCCATCAGAAAGCCGAGAAGATTAGTAGTATTGATGGATACAGGCAAGAATTGACTGAAACAGCACAACAAAAGTAGTAGCGATGCAGCAACCTATACCCTGACGGCCCTAGACTCAAATTTCGCCATTGTTGACATCAACAGAAATAACCCCAGGTATGGCGAATTTCAGGATTTCATTGTAATGACCCAAATTCACTGTTTCTGGACTTGCGCTTAAGCACAGATGACAGAAACCAAATTGCGATTCACCCCAGACTGACCGACTGGAATTCTGACGGACAGAGTTTGAGTTGTGACCGACCCTAGATAGCACAGACTATAAATAGACTCAGCGCAAAACTCAAATCCACAGTATCACTACTTTTCCTACCCAGAATTCACAGTATGATCATACAGGATGCAGCGCAATACTGTCATACAGTCCCACAACAATTTTGAGTCAGAACAGGTCAATGGATAGTGAGATATGAGTCAGGGTAGGGAGGAAGAAGATGGATATGGTTGTCTTGCAGTCTGACAATTTCACGATTGTGACTCTACTGACAGACAGACCATCATTCCTAATTTTACTAACTCTATACTAATCGCTACTCAGGGAATCCCATGGAACACACTCACTTGAAGTATTTCACTCAGTGGGTGATGAAGCTCTGGCTATGGCTGCCAAACCCTGGTCTCGCCAGCACTTGCAGACACTCTTCCACAGCTTCCCACGTATGGAATCTCCTGAAACTTGTTGATCCGCTCCAATATGATGTGGCGATTCAGCCCCACCTCTCAGATTCAATGAATCTGGCTCAGTGGCGAGAGATTACTCTCCTGAAGGTATCTTGCCACTGCAGGTATGAGCCGATGGTGCTAAATTTAGCCCTGAGTAGGGTTAATTTAGCAGGAGGTGATCTTGCGATCAATCCCCCCTCAGCGCTACACTGGGATTGAAGTCGCCACCCAGTTATTACTGGATTAGGGTATAATTCGCCACCCTGATTCCAGTCATCAACTGAGGTCAGAAGGGTGGATGGCGAAATACCCCTGTTCTCGCCACTTCCTGTCAGGCACTCAGACAGTCTCAGGGTGCCTGATCAATCGCAAACTGATGCCCTGCAAACACCGCTTGTTTGTCTTCTCTTCCACTGGATCTTTACTGAAGAGGAAGA